ACCACGAGGAATCGAACTAGGGACCCCCTTTTCTGGTATTCAGAGGGCCGTTCAGGAAAAATTGAACCATGGTTCTGTGGTTCCCGCATGTGCCCCTATATCATGCAAAAGACCGTTTTCAAAAAGCTTGGCACGCCCTGAAAGACCTTCCTGGTAAGTTGCACCGGAAAGCCTGTGGATTTGGTAGCCAGATGGGAAACAAAGCAAGGTGTACCGTTTCGCGATGCAAGGTGTGCAAGTTGCGACGAGATGGGTTCATTCCGAATTGGCCCACCTCTAAAACTGTCCCACGTCCAAGCGTGGTTACCGCAGCTCGCGAAATCTTTATGACTAGTTGGGTTTCCATAATGAAGTTCATTTCATAACAAACGCTCGATATTTCACCTTCCCGATACCTAGAAAGTTGAATAAGTAAACATACGGTTTCCGAAAATCGCTTGGCCATCCAGTTTGTGGCGAAAGCTGGGAGTGGCAGACCGCTCACGGAGCGACTCATGAAAGCTGGTCCGTTGAGCACCGACTTGTCTTGCAAGAGAGCACTTAAAGTAGAGATTTAGCGAAATCCAAAAAAAGAAAGCTTAATAAAATCATAATACACAAAACCAGAAACACCAAAGTTGGAAAAGCTCAGTTCTTTCAACAGCGCTATTATAGGAATAAGTTCCATCACTTATTGCTGACCAGATCTGGCTTAATGTCGTATACTTCCTTATTTTCATTTATAACCTGATTCAATTTTCACTAACATACTCGACATAAAGTTGTTGCCTTATGACTCCAAAAGCATATAATAAAGATTTTGAGACATAAAAAAGGTGTTTGAGCCAGGATAAATTAATTTTTCACAGCATGATGGTGACTTTTGCAAAAAGAGGGCGAGTGGTCATACAGCAGTGCTACGTAGCGCAGGAAGCCTATCGCGCGACGAACGGTAGAAACGCAATGACAATTCTATCCGATTATTTCGTGCAGTCAATTAAACTGTGGTAGCTTGGGTCGACTGTGGGTAGCTTGAGGTCGCACAGCTGGTCACATCACGACGTGAAGTGGGAATTCGAGTGAAAACAGTTTCCATTCTTGTATTTCGTGGCTTCGCAGGCCTTTCTCATGCTAATACCCTCCCTTTCAAAAAAAAAACGAGTAAACTTTCGTATGCAGGCCATCACACACAATTGATTGACCGTCTCTCATACGAAATGCAAATGATTTTTGCCAATGAGATGATTAGCAGTTGTATTCTATCAGTTGTCACTAATTACAACTATCATTTACCAAAAATCAGCTATCACTATGAACCACTACTAAAGATTTACTTGGAGGGTCGTCACTTGTGGTGTATGGTCTGCACCCGACGCTCTTCTCGTTTTTGAAAGGGAGGGTATGAGTCAAACGACTTCCGTAGCAAGCAATTCAAAGCTTTGGTAAAACTCACTACAAACTGCTCAATTCAACCATACGTTCTAAAGCACGAGCTGTTCCGCGTTCCATACCAGCTAGACCATCCTGGAAAATCATAACCTATAGAAATCCATTTCATCCACAAATCTTCCAATACTACCTAACAAACCTGATAAAGGGCTGCATCTCAACAATCCACCACAATAACCACGTGTGCAATGACTTCTCAAAAGCATATCTACCACCCGAAACACACGCGATACTCCATCTGCTACTGTGCTGGATGGATCAAGCTTTTCGGGTTCAAGATCAAATTATCCACTACTGCAGAGTATGAGCCGTTCACTGGACACGAAACCACGCGACAAGAGTGTCAGGGCCTAGTCTTGCTGCATGTTAGCTGTGAGTTGGACAGTGCTACGACGAAGGAGCACTGGGTACGCTCGCGGCTCTCGCAGTCAACTCTGCGGGATGAGTGAGTTTCATTCGTCTACTATTTTCGATTGCTCTTCCTTCTCGATACCCAATGATCCTTCGCCGCTCTGGCCAACTCACACAAAAAATCTCCATCTCAGGAGTTTCGACGGTTTCTTGTTCTTTTTTTGCAAATTTAAATCTTTAAGAAAACAATAACCATATAAGCAACGCCAACAAAGATACGCAAAAACTTCAACGCAAGTACTCTCAAACACCTTACCTCAAGTTTGAAATGTTTCTGCAACTCCCAGATGATTACTTGCGAGTCAGCTATCTGTCTGCCATTCAGCTCAATAAATGGTAACAAGCCGCGTGATGAACGTTGTCGATATGATCCTATAACCTAAAGCAGAATCAAACAACAATCGTGTGATGAAGGATGGAAGGCAAATGTTCCATCGTTACTCAACCCATTGTGGGATGTGCCGCGAAATCTACATTCATTCAGGATCACGGTATAAGAATCAAGGTGTGAAAACCAAAGTGTGGTTGCGTCCTCTCAAAGGAGTCCGACAACAATTATCTGACCAAAGAGCAATCCTTCGGTGGGGAGGATAAGACTATAGACGAAGATGACAGATCTGATGTCCCACTGCTCATCATGCAAATATCGCCTTGTGTCTGAGCCTCCTCCTACGGCGTGCTCTATCGCATATTATTTTCTCTCTCGAGGCACTGTTTCTCGAGATTGCTAGGGTCGAAAGGGGTAAGGGACTCACAAAAAAAGAGGGCCGCGAAATTTACTGTTTTCGATGTTGATTTGCGTTTCTCCGCACCTTCGGTCCCCACGCAGCTATTTTCCCCTTCAATGTAAAGGTAGGATTCGGGAT